TTAACATTAACACAACATGCTTTGGCCACAGACAGCCATCTTCAGGTGTTTCAACGTGTCCAAATTGTTACACTGCTTTGATGCATACTAAAATTGCGTGTTGCAGTCCACTTAAAATAACATAAATAATTACTTAAAACTCATTAAATTCTTTCATAGAATCCTATTCCACCTCATAAGGGGCGTCATCCACTGGAATATCACAAAGCTTTAAACATGTGGATGAACCCCTTATGAGGCGGAATAGGATTCTATGAAAGAATTTAATTAATTTTAAGTAATTATTTATGTTATTTTAAGTGGATTGCAACACACAATTTTAGCATGCATCAAAGCAGTGTAACAGTTGGACACATTAAAACACCTGAGGATGGCTGTCTTTGGCCAAAACATGTTGTGTTAGTGTTAAATGGTGAATATTTTAATGATTGTTGCATTAGTGACGGACTTCATACATAGACCTCCCATCTATGCCTAGGTCTCTGATGTGGTCTCTTCCTTTCAGGGGTTCCTACAAAAATTCTGCACATGTTTCTCATCTTTACTCCAAGTGCTACATGTCCTGTACATTTCATACTCCTTGATTTGATCACCCTAACAATATTTGTATACAGTACTGGTTATGAAGCTCCTCATGATGCAATTTTCTCCAGCATCCTCTCACTTCCTTCTTCGTAGACCCAGATATTCTCCTCAGCACCCTGTTCTCAAAAACTCTCCAACTGTGTTTTGTACACTCATAGCATGGCGGTAATTTTAAAAGTTTCTGGCAGAAGGCTTCTGACAGAGATCTGCACAAGAAAATTATGACATTGGAAGGCAGGAACAAGTTAATCCTTTTGACTGCCAGCCCCATCAAGGAACTACCTGACAGAAACTCAATGGCTGTTTGGGGGTAAATGGCATTGCACACAAGAACTCACAATCCTTTCATACATTACCTTCAAACAAACACAGATTTTGGTGGAAATAGAAGCCTGTGCATTCTCTGAACATCAGGATATAACGCTTGATGCCATCTCTCGACAGAAATGCTCTACTAAGCAATTAATGTCAAGCTGATGTCAGATCTGTCATTTTTAATACAAATATGCTGAACTGATTATACTGGCCTGTGGTATGCAAAGCATTAACAAAAGTTTTATATCTGTAATGGTACATAATACTAAAAAAGCTGAAGATGATAAACTGTATTCATGAATGTTTACAGCTGACGCCCTACCTTGGGAAGTGGCTAAATGGGCGTGTCATATACACCATTCTTCGTGGACAAGCTGTGTATCAAAATGGAAAGTTTTCACCGCCTCTGGGTCGGCTTGTTCTTTCTTCTGCATCAAAACACTGAACTGAATTCCTGGAAGTCAAAGCTTTGTTTATATTTCTGCACTAATAAACAACATATGCCCATACTCACTAATGTAACTAAAGTTGTATACAGCATGCTGTATATTTTTATAATATACTTATCCAAATCATGAAATAAAATTTTGTACCAAATTGTTCAGACTACCAATCAGTTCTGAATATATTACATTCATTTCATTTCTGAAAACGTAAGGTTAAAATATTCAAAATCGTAATATAACCATTGTGCCCTATGAATTTTAAATTCTGAGGGTATAGCATGGGTTGATGGTCTTTGAAAGGAAGATTAACTTCTGTAGTGAATTTTGATATGCCCATTCAAACAGCACATCTCTTGGTTATTACGTACTGCTGTAATCCAGATACCTTAGAGCTAACAGCAATAACAGGAAACAAAAAGCCGTGACATCAGCTAATAAGATATATAAGATTGAAACATGTACGTCAATCTCATGAATTTCAATCAATGTATACCTAAGTTGCATGATAATGAAGAAGTTTAACCCAGACCAAAAGAAAAGAGGACTGAAAAAATAGGCCTAGATGGGATGACATGACAGGAGAGTAGTAAGAACACACAGTGAGGAACTTCACGATTTTCATTATTGTTAGGGCATTAAATTAAGCAATTTTAATTTCATTTGAAGTCCCTCAGCACACTTTCATGCACCAAAACTCACTGCTGCTTTTAGATTCTAAAGGGTTCTGTATGTATATGACGCTGAGGATTACTGGGGTTTTGGACTTTGTCCATCCTCCAGTATTCTAAAGAACACTAAAGAAGATAACATTTCAGAAATTGGATCACTTTCCATCCTCAGGTGAGAGGGTGGAGTCACCAACTCTGTTGGGTCTGTCAGAAAGAGTCAAGGTGTAGATTGGGGGTAGCTCCTTGTAATGGACCTAACAGAGTAGGTGTCTCCCACCCCGCAACCTAAGCATGGAAACAGATCCAGTTTCTGGAACATTGTGTTTTTAGTGTTCTTTAGACTATCAAACAATGGACAAAGTCCAAAACCCAGTAATCCTGAGTATCACTGCCGCTTTTGGTCAAGCATCTGTTAGTAAAGGAACCCATGACATAATCACATGAGCTACAGCAACTGCATGAATATTACTACTTCACATATTGAAGTGTGAAAATGTTCATTATTTATTTACTCCCATTTAAGGTGCTTGAACTTTCTGGTTGCCATCCTTCCTAAATGACTCAAACCATTCTGAATTGCTCTTATTTTTTCCAGACAGTTTTCTCCATAAAGTTTCACCATTACTACAAAATAGAAGCAACATCCACTCCACTCCTAACACAGGATCAAACAGCGTAATGTTTCTCCACTTCCACCAGCCATTTCCTGGCAATGGATTTTAACACAGGAACTATAACAGTCTCACTCCACACTCCACATATCACACATGGAGTCCTCTCTTCACAGCTGGACTTTCAAATGAGCACCTTCGCAACTAACACACAGCCATTTCACAACAATCTCCTAGTCCTCTCTTCACCACCTGACTATCAACTGACTAAACTCAAGTCAAAGTCAAATTCACATTGTGACTGACAGTCAGTCAGTCAGTCTTGGAGGCAAGCCCAGTCTGAGGCTTATGACCAGATATTTATTACTGTTTGACAGTTTCGGTCTTGTTTTTGTGGGGCGCCCTCTCTGACGAGAGGACGAGTCTGTCTTTGGTCAGAGTCATAGTCTGTAGCAGTAAGTCAATTGTCATAATGTAAACGTTATTTACATTTTACATGTTAAATATATTAATAAATGTATATAAAATATATACAGGGACTCTGTCAGTGCAGGCTTAGTACAGCAGATTATGCTCTATTTCTAGTAGCTTCCACTACAACGGCAGTCTAATCACTTGAACGGTTGTATGCTTGATCACCGCCAAGTTTAAGCCTCTTATACTTTCCATGTCGGGCTTCTCCTTGCGCAATATTGCGAACATTTTCGTTATCATGATGTTGTATGACTTCCGCTTGTTGCCTGCTTAATTTTGTTATATAATCATATACATATGGAATTTTGAAAGTCATGTGAAAATCGTGAACAGGTGTGTGCCTTGGAAAATTGCCAATGGTGTGGAGAACCTTGTTTCGCAGGTGCTGCAATTACATTAGACGGGCATCTGCCGCGAATTCCCAGGTGGGACTAGCATAAGTCATTACACATCTAATGAGAGCTTTGTGGAGGGTCATTTTAATGTTAGCGCTTAATCGCTCACTCTTGAGTAGGGAATACAATCTTATAAATGTTCTGAATGCCTTGGCTTCAATCATTTCTATGTTCAATCTCCATGTAACACTCACATCAAAGATTACGCCAAGATATTTTACACTATTTACAAACGGAATATATCTTCCATTCAATGTAAGATGAGACACAAGCGGACGACGACTGTAAGAGAAGATCCCCTGAGTCTTACCTTCATTAATTTTGATATTCCAGCGCTCATACCAGGTCTCCATTGAACTGAGACCGCGCTGGAGTTTTCTAACAAAAAACCCTCCTTGCGATGTGTTGTATACATGACTAAACTCTAAACCTCGACCCACTTATAACCTCTCAGCACAGACCACACAGAAAACACTGTTTCTCTGTTGCTGCAGGAATATGTTTACAGGGCCGTTGCCTAGAAACGGCTCTGGTACACCCATGACTATCTCGGTCGTTGCATATCAATAGCTCTACATGCTACAACAATTAAAAATTCAGTTTCTGCCTCACAGAAAACACTCTGCCTCCATAACAAAAAGGAAGAACCATGACAATCATAAAAAACATATTAAGTACATGGTTGGCAAAACACAGAGCTCCTTAACGTTAGACCAAGTGGTAACCATAGTGCTTTAGAAAGCTGGCCATGCAGCCAGCAGATGAATGAGACGAACAACGGGCACACAGCAGTTCCAGTGCGCTTGATAAATTTACACTTCAACTGCAGCACATTCCAGCCTGCAAGACTACACGGTGTCACAACAGAAGGCCATTATTTAAACAGAGCAGATGTTTCAAACTAACAAATAACAATAGAAAATACAAAAATGACACCTTTATGCACTGTTGACTGCAGTACTGTAATTTTCCTGTCACACTTCTATCTATAATATGTCTCCTGCATCATCTCCAATATTAGTTCTAAGGAATTTTAAACACAAAACAGTTTATGAGAAACCAAATAGCATCCTTCTTCAGGAACATAGTTAAATGTTTTGAAGTTAATTCAAAGGGATGAAAAAGCAGGAACAATTTCTAAGTGTTTTGGCCTACCTACAGTCACACTTCAATCCCTGTAGCCCACTCATGATGCATCAAGCCACTTCAAGAGCAACCTTCTCTTTTCTGCATTGCTCTCTGGCTTTCTCTCTGACATACACAATATACTGTATATACAGCAAAATATTAATATGAATTCAAAGACAGCAAAAATATAAAGATCATAGTAAGTAGATGGTAGTATAGTTGGTTGAGACACTTTGCTACAAGCTGGAAGGTTATGGGTTTGATTCTCGATGAGGCCAGTGGATTTTTCAATTTACCTAATCCTTCCAGTCACATTATGACCCTGGGGTGGATTCAGCCTCTAATAGAAATGAGCACCGGGAATCTTCCTGGGGGTAAAGGGTGGCCGGCACATAAGCCTGACAACCTCACCGTCATCTGTAAGCTGTCTAGAAAATGTGGAAGCCTCAACGGTTCACAACCCTATGTGCCTCTATGCCCTGTTACAGAAATAGCTTTACCTTTCTCTCTTTCGTTTGCCTTTTATTGTCAAAAAAATATTTGAATGGCAAATAATTCACTGTCTACAGTACTATCATCTGGAATGTGATCCCATGTAGTCCAGTAGCAGTTCACCAGTATTTCAGCAGAATGTACTGCCCCATCCTCACAGTTGAAGGGTAAGGAAGCTAGCAAAGCTTGCTTGCTGCCTGCTTCATGCTGGTTTCTTCCTTGGTTTATTCTTGAATTATGAAGATGGAAGTGATACATTCCTCCAAAATGTCACTTGACTTTCAATGGACTGAATGATGTTATATCCCTGAAGACAGGACTCTCCATAACCACCCCTGTGAGAAGCTCACATCCTACAGTAAGGTCCTGCTTAGCTTATTCTTCAACCATGAAGTTCGATGTACAGTCTACCAGACAACATGTGTCACAACCCAGAAGATAGTAATTTTATTTTAAATTTTCTCAATAATGCACAAAAATAAAAGGGCTGCGAAAAGGCAGTGAAAGGCAGTCAGACTAGGACACCATTCTGCTGGCTACCTGGTTCAGGAGGCACATCTGGCAATTCTGGTTTACCTGCAGCAGGTTCCTCCTCAGGAATCCCTGGAATCTCGGGTTTGGATGATCCTCTCCCGTTCTCCTTCCACTGCCTCTTCATCATCAGGCATGAACCGGCATGAACCGGTACGGGTTCTCACGGTCTCTTCGCTTGCAGATTTCTTACTTTTCCTTATACCCTGAAGATGGAGGCGATACGTTCCTCCGAAACGTCGGTTAACACCACATTTACACGGTGCCACATCCCAGAAGACTGCTTTCTACTAGAATACGTGTTCTGCCCTGCCAGGGACTGTTTCTGGATGGAATGTCCCCACAGTTTGACACGAAATATTGACACTGCAAGATAGGAAATTAGACGTTTCTGCTTCCGATGGACCGATTCCCCTTCCAGAGGGAATTATCAATTGTTTCTGTAGTGTCAGAAGTTAATCCGAATTCGAAGAGGCCAGAGGCCGTAGTCCATGAAGCCAAGAAAGATATATGTTCGCGAGATGTACTGAATTGTTTCTGTATACAGACAAGTGTCGATGTACCAGACATTTCATTCCAAACCTTTCTTCATCGGTTTTTTTTTCTTTTTGCGCGTGACGGCTTTAAAGTGCGGAGTCAATTGTTGGAGAGCAGATGAATATTATGGGCCATAAGCCGGCAAGTATAGTATATTTAAAAAAAATATAGTCTTCGTTTGTTTGAAATATCCCAGGTGTACAGACCTACCTGTATAGCCTGTAACATTGCAATAAGCGAACCTAGTTGTCCATGTGCTCAACGAATTAAGCACGTATAGGGGAGTGGGTGTATAGATCCACA